TGATCTTTAACATGTTCTATTTTAGACTTTTGAGCTCGAAGTTTATCACCCCCAATTTCCAAAATCTTATCTTGCAAAATCTTGATCTCTTCATTAATTTTAGAAGGTTGACGTTTCAATCTATCCAACTCTTGTGTAAGATGATCATTTTGTGTTCGAAGTTGTCCCATACGCTCTATATTTAAATTCTCTTTTTGCCTTAAAAGAAAAATCAAAAAAGTAGATTGACTTTTATTAGCCTTTACCAAGAATTTATTGGGGAAAAAGTTCTAAACATACCGTAACTCGACTATTCTTGTTTCATTATCGGTAATACTTTTTACGCAAAAATCAGCACATATCTCTAACTTTGATAGTTCCAACTCTAATTTAGGAAGTTTATCCTTTTTCTCTTGAAGTTGAGATTCTAAAGAACTAACTTTTTCATCAAATTCTCTACACTGTACTTCTAAGTGATTATGTTCTCTTTCTAATTTTGCTATTTTCTCGGGTGTTATGTCGGAAGCTTTCAACGCTTGATCATTGCCACTCATAGTGCCAGATTTCTCAATCAATTCTCCATTTAAAGTCACTACGCGCCATCGAGTTTTACCAAATGCTATCCTTTTCGCTTGTTGTAAATTTTCGGCTAACAAAGTATCTTGTAACATATTATAAAATGCTGGGATAAACTTGTCATCTTTCGGCTTAACAAGATCAAAAAGACGGGGAACGTTTTCAGGTGTTTGTATCGACCGCATATCTACGGTAGGTAGTTTATTCAAAAGAATGAATGTGACGCGACCTAAATCGTTTTTTCTAAGATATTCTACACAAGTTTTTCCAACTTCAACAGAATCAACCACGATGTCGTTCAATGCAGGACAGGCAGTTGAAATCGCGACATCGTATTTATCATCAATGACACCAAGATTACCCAAACGATCCTAATTAAAAAAAATTAAAATAAGTTTTTCAGCAAAACAATTTATACAACACTCCGCTCCGTCGAACTTACGTATAATCCGCTTATACGACCGTTATCTTGGAGATTTATCAAGCTGCTAAGAATTTGTCCTCTAGATTGAGAAGATTGTAAAAGATTTTTCGCCACCTCTTCTCTTTGTTGAGAATCGGCAAGATTAGAACTGAGATTTTTTTGCTGACTAAGGTGATGCTAAGTAATAAAAGATATTTATGATTATCTTAAAATACTTAAAATATATTAATTTAAATATTAAATTAAATAATAACCTTTAAATCAGTATCCAATTGTTGAATTTCTCGTTTCAAGTCTTTGATTTGATTCTTTGTAGATGATATTTCTTGATGATTAATTGATCAGCAAAAAAAAGCAAATTGATTTCTTATAATAATTCTCTTAGCGTGACAGCATCTTCTTCTGCTTGTTTAAGAGCTTGTTTTATTGAATCAACTTTCTCTTTTAAAATAATATACTCCGATTCATTGACATCAACGAGAGATTGCTTCTCATTGATCTTCGCTGACCAAGGTACAAGCTCTCTTTTCTTTTCTTCAATTTGGTTAGAATAAACTTCAGACTTGCCTTTATTTAAGATTAAATCCAATTTCAATATAATTACAATATAAAAAAAATATATTTACAAATTGGATTAAAATAATCGATTCTCTTACTCTTTAAAGTTTCTATGATTTTTTCAAGTTTGCTTTCTTGAGCCTTTAAAGACCTTTTCAAGTCTACAATTTCTTTCATTCAAAGATTCAAATCCTGTTCATTAAATCATATCGCTGTTTTCACTTCCGAAAGTCCATGACGACCCTATAATGAAAAGTTTATTATATGTCCTCAAAAATATATATATATACATCAAAAGAATATTAAACTAATATAACCTACCTTAGAAATTGCAATTGTCACTTTCTTTTGTTTAGAAGTTGCATGTTTCTTTTTCTCTTCTAGGTTAATAATATCTTCGTTTTCATGATTTGCCAATTCTTATAGAATTTTATTCACTTCTTTTTCAAGTTGCTTATTAAAATAAATACAATTATCCATATTAATGAAAGTTTATATATATGTAAATTAATATAATTTATTTTACCAGAAAGTCATTAACAGAATCGTTATATTGATTTTCAAGATCTTTGTTATCTTGCTTTATTTGAACATGCTTTTCTTCTTCTTCTTTTAGTTGATCTTTTAATTTATTCTAAGAATTCATAAATAAAATTAATAGTCATATTAAATTAGCTTGTCTGAATAAGTTATTAAATCCAATGACTTACCATAGCCTTAATTAATATTTGAGTCTGATTCTTACAATTTAACAAAAATTTTCGATACTGAGCAAACTGTTTCAAATTTAACGTGTTTTTATCTTGGAGAAATTCTTTGGCTTTGTTTTTCTTGGCCTTTATAATTAATAAGATTAGAATCATAGTTGTTATTTAATATGAATACAAAAAAGATTGATTAATATGTTACCTTTATAAACTTTGTTTATCCATTCAACTATATTAACACGATTTAATTTCTCTGAACGTTCTTCATCCAATAATTCAAGCTTTTCATTTGCTTCTTCAAGTGGGATTTTATATTAGAAGTTCTGATAATGTCTTTAAGAAATTCTAAAAGTCTATCTTCATGCTTATTTGGTGTTATGGGTTTCATCTGAGATATTGATTCAATTTCTTCCTAATCATTAATTTAAACACAAAATTTTGATGATATCAATATATTAAAATAATTATTCTTGACGATTTTTTTTTTAAAAAAATAAATAAAAAAAGCACCTGCAAATTAGAAACCGTTTATGATCCAAATCGAACTCCTTTTCTTTCAAAAAACTTGTAACTTCAGTGTAATTGCTTTGTTGTCCATTAATGAAATACTTGCTAGCATTATTGCAAAAAGCTTGACGCGAGATAATCAACTGAGATTGAGATACAACCTCATAATCATCTGGATCATGCTATAATATTATTGAACATTATGTGATTAATTTTTTGTATTTTAGGAAAATTAAAACTTTAATATTCACTGTATCAAGAATTTCTTCAAAATGCACACCCACATTACAAGCATCCAGGTTCTCACATCCTTGTGATGAATGAATAAGTTCTGATAATTTTCCTTACCTCATTTTACTTGCACGATGTCTAAATACAAGTAAAAGTACGTCTATGACATTAGATTTTTCAGAACTGTTATATCATCAAATTGATCTATATCATTTTTACTAGGCTCTTGTTGAGTAGATCTTTTAGAGACAGGTTTATCATGTATATCACTATAGATAGTATCACATGATATATATTCCTGAAAAACTCGCAAAAATCATATTGCAAGACGTTCAGACTAAAGATGGTACAGCAATTGATTTCAAATTTACAAAATGTTGCAACATAAGCTAAAATTAGTTGCAACATATGTTGCAACATTATAAGTTGCAACATATATAAGTTAAAACTAATTGCAACGTAAGTTGCAACATTAAAAGTTACAACATATTAATTACAGTTCCCATCTTTAGTTCAGACAATTCTGCTTGTGATTGTGATTTTTGAAAGAATCAAATACATCGCTGCTGGAAATATATTGATAGGCTTATATATAATTATATCTCCAACACTTGTACACGCCTATGAAAATATTAAATAAAGAAAACTAGTTAGGAAAACTACGTTGAGTTTAAAATGGTCGTTGTGATATTTTAAAACATGTAACATGTGCATAAAAAAGAAAAAAAAATACTTACAACTAAATAAGGTTCTTTCGATCTTTTTCCAAGATTTATCAATAAAATTTCTTTTATTTCGGATTTTTGTGATATAGAATTTAAATTCTGTCAGAAAGCAAAATCGACAAGAACTGCTGTTTCTTTAGCCGAGCTTGGCACATTTGGAATGTCACCATTTAGAGCTTATTAATATGGTTTGTACCTGTTCGGGTTTTAACCCTGTGTAATAAAACATATTAATTTGATCTGTGGTATGGTTCCAATTATGTTTAGATTCAAAATCTTGTACTAAATGCATCTTGAGTTTGTCGTGTATCGTGATGATCTGATCAGCTATAGTCTTGACTTTACCTAACCTATCAGGTAATCACACGTGATTATTGTCATATGACACATGACACCAACTTCAAAACAAAAAAAACTCATCATTTCTTGTTCAATTCGGAATTACTTAATACATAGCTTGCTATCCTTGCCCCGTTTATCGCAGTATTCAAGTACATTGGTCGAATTAAAATCTTTAACTGTGAATCTATCGCTGCTTTCTCTTTTGGATTGTCAGAGATGATTAAAAAATAACCAACATATTCGGCGTAAAGTCCTATGTTTTTGGCAAATGACTGTGATAAACAAATTCGATGTCTATCAGAGGCAAACTTTCGAATTGCATATACGTCACGATCTGTATCACCCGAGGCAAATCCTTAGTAGGCCATATCAAAGAAAGTGAAATGACTATATTCCTATGTATTGACGTATTGAAGTTTTGACGCGTTACTCCCCTTGACGTATCCAGATTTTTTAAAACAATTCATCATAGATATTTATACCTTAATAATTTTAGAAATCTGATTCCACTGTTGTGGCATTGGATCAACTCCAATAGGATTATATGCGCAGGCGTATAATAAAAAGATGGAATGTTTGGGGGAATTCTAATCATACAATTGAATGAAATTTTTTTTAGAAGGAAAAAAGACATACTATTAAATGACTCGTATATCAGACCAAAATGTTTTTACCTGGATATCTTCAATGAAATCATTGAAATCTAAACTATTAGTTGATTTATCATAATATCTCTATTGTCCAACTTCTAACCCGGAATCTCTGAATACGACGTGATGATTTCCTTACGTTGGGGTCAGTACAAATATTTTTTTATTATGTTGATAGAATCAATTTAAAAAGGTACCCAGATCCGGAGCGCACCGGTGCCAGAAATTGACTGTATAACAGCTATCTACATTTACACGATATCAATCATTTTATTATTAAGATACAAAAACTTTTAAAAAGATTGAGGTTCATCGATTTATAACTTACTCTTCCTTCTCCCAGCGGTTCTGAATCTTTACTGTAAGCCAAGAGCACAGCTTCTTTGGTAAAGGATGCAAGACTAATGATTAGAAGGTATTCTTTGTCAAGCTTATCTTTAAGGATCATTTCTTCCGCCTGTAATCAGTATAATTGTATTTAATCCATTTTTTTTTAAAAAATAAATGATTTTGTGATTTAATTGTGTAAAAGAAAAAATCATTTCTATATTTGGATTTGAGTTTATTTGTTTATTTTGTCATTTTATCATGAACCTTTCTAACCGCATTCAATACACACGGCTGGCGACAAGTCAAAATGTGAGAAAAGAAAAACCTCTTCGAATTCAGGAAGCTTAAAAATCTGAATAAATTAATTATAAGGATTAGAATTTATTATTTTTAAAACATTGTTATATAATTGTTGACAGGAAATATTTACAATAGATATATATTAATACCTCTAAAGAACCATCTTGTTTAAATCACGCACACCAATAAGTTGTTTCTTTCACATTTTCAACTTTACTGCTCACATTTTCTTCACCCATAACTTGTGGTTTTCATCCAATTTAACTTTCTCATCTATTTCCATAGAATTTTCTTTGCCTTCATTTAAGTTCCAAGTTTCAAAACCTTTACATAAATCATTGAATTCATCATCATCTAAGTTCATAGGTGAAAAGTATGTAATTATTTTGTTTTTATTATCAGACTTTAAAAGAGAAAGTTTTTGAGTTGCATCTTTAATAAGAGAAAAAAGTTGTCGGAATAACCTACCAAAAACATTAATTAAATTAAAGTAAATTTACTACAAAAAATAAATTTTATGTAAACTGTAAAAAAAAATAAATAAAAAAAGACTATCTCACATTAATTCGTTCGGGCTGTGGACACGTTTCAATGTTTTTTGTTCTTTTATCTACTTTCATCTAATCTGATATCTCAAAAAAACTAGTGGCAGATTTTCTATCTGTTATACTTTTTTTATCGATCAATCGATTAATTTAATTTCTGATATTTATTTATCCGGATTTTTATGTATAGATAAATCGTGCTATTTTTTTTCGATTGAATTTAACTATTTTTTTTTATTTTTTGATTTATAAACTTTAAATACTAATGTTCTAATTTTTTTTAGGTTAAACTCTGAAGCTTCTTAGAATGGCTAATGAAAGGTAAGGTGTTTAATTAAAATATGAAGATTGTATTATTAAAATATAATAGTACTAACATTTTATTCCTTTTTTTGTAGGTTAGATTCTGGAGTTTCTTGAATAGTCTTTTGATAAGTGATTTAAGATAAAATAAGGTGATATTTCCTTTTGTTATAGGAATGATACTAACATTTTTCTTTCTTTTTTTATAGGTTCGATCTGGAACTTCCTAGAATGGTCCTTTGATTCCTTTTTTTGTAAGTTAGATTCTGAAGTTTCTTAAATAGTCTTTTGATAGGTGATTTAAGATGGAATAAAGTGATATTTCCTTTTGTTATAGGAATGATATTAACATTTTCCTTTCTTTTTTTATAGGTTCGATCCGGAACTTCCTAAAATGGTCCTTTGATAGGTAATTAAAAATGGAAAATAGGGATATTTTCTTTTATTATAGGAATAATATTAAAATTTCATTCCTTTTTTTTATAGGCTATATCTGGAACTTTTAGGAATGATCCTTTGATAGGTGATTAAAGATGGAATAAGGAATATATTTTTTTTTTATAGAAATAATACTAATATTTTATTCCTTTTTTTATAGGTTAGATCCTGGAGCTTCCCAGAGTGTTTATAATTAAATTTTATCAATAATTATTGTCCGGAGCATAGCGTAGGAAGTAGGGATAAAATGGGGGTTCAGGGGTAAAATTGAAACAATACCCAAAATAGATCTCCAAGCCTTTTTCCAATCAATTCTAGCTATATGAATCAACTATAGAATTAAAGC